AACACATGTTATGCAGGGCTGCCTTTTGGCAATTTTGCAGGATTTTGAACTGTTGTTGGCTAGGTGATATCTCTTTCATCTTTCCTCTTTCATATTTCAAGGATGCAAATAATTTCTAAAGGGTTTGTATATTTAGGAAAGTGATGATATAATAGGGTTTTATGAGATAGCTAGCTTGCTGTTTTTATGAATAATGCTTTGTTGTTTTTGTTGGCTTTCCACTTTACATGTTATTTTGCATTGTTCTGTTTAGCAGCTTGTGTTGCATCATTGCAGCCTACTGCTGCCTGTTCTGTTGTGTTGCTATTTTGTTTTTCTTTTGCTTGCTGCACTTGTCTTGGTTTATGCTGCTTGTATAGTAGCTTGCTGCTGCCCTGTTTTTTGTGTTGCTGCCTGCTATGTTTGGCAACCTTGTTGTTGCGCATATCTGTTGTTTTTTGTGATGTTGCCTTGGGCAGTTTGACTTGTTTGCATTTTGTGTTGTCTTTTGCCCTGCTGCATATACTTGTTTGTTGTTGGACAGCCTTGGACTTTATGCTATTTTGTACTAGAAAATGTTTGCAAATTTTCTTTTCCCTTTTTGTGAACCAAGGCCCAAACCTTGTGATTTGCAAAATAGAAGAAGATGGATTATGATAAAAAACAAACAACCTTTAAATCTGATTCCAAATACAAACCCTAATGATGAGCATTCAAACTTGTTTTAGCAATTAATTCTTGAATTTTCACATGCTTGCTAACTTTTCTCTTCTTGTTTCATGAGCGCGAGGGTTGGATGGCAAGCGAGGTTGAAAAGCGAAGAAGCCATGGCGAGGTATGGATAAATTTCTTGAAGATGAAGCAAAATAAAATTGAAGAAGCAATATTTCTTTTTGTAAACAAAACATTGTAGTTTGTATTTTACTTGTAATATAGTGAACACAAAACTTGAGTAAATTTGTGAATGATGAAATTTGTTGTGCGGAAATTAGACAAATTTTGGATCTCGTTTGAACTTTGAGATTCTCAATTGAATGGTTTGAATGATACACCATGATTTTGTAACTTGAACTTCAAGAAATTACAAATGACTTTTGTAACTTGTATTTCAAGTAAACCATGCGCCTTGTCTTTCAAACTCCAATCAAATTCCTGAACAAAATAAATGCTTACGAATTCAATTCCACTTGGTTAACTCGAACCCAAAACAATGGTCATTTAAATGAAAAATGTTAATCTTCACATCATGTCCAAATCAAACTTGCACTCTCAAATAAGAAACTTAACTCGGATGTCCAAACCACAAGTAATTTGCAGCTGAAACAACAAAAACATGCCTTGACTATCATGAAACTTTCAACCTTATTTATTATGCCCAGATTCTGCATTCGTCAACTTAAACTTCAAACTCTCGACTTGGTGACTTAGAGATCTTTATAAGAAAACTTGAAACACAAGGGGATGAAATCCTTGACCAAATGCTCTGAACTTTAAGTTATCTTTGAGGCAGGCGAAAGACACATCTTCACAAAAACCAAGGATCTAAAACCCTAGCATATTGAATAACAAATAGGGAAATAAACCATAACTGCTGACTAAATGCCTAGGAGGGAAATCTATTTGATCAAACCCTAAGCCATTTTGAGTATTTGAGAAACCCTAGGATAATATATTGAATGAAAAATGGGAGGACAAATTTTGGGGTACAACAAGAGTCATACGTGGAAAAATGAAGCAATTCAAATAAAAAACAGAGAAAAATGAGCAGTTTACACTCAAGGCGACTAGCGTGGCGTTCGCCATAGAGGTAGCCACAAGTCGTGTGATGTGTCCCACGCCCCAACGCTCATGAAGAACAAGTTATGCCATTTTTGCGAAGGTGGTGTTCGCCATCCTTTATATTTTCGTAGAAATTGCAAAATGGGTTTGGCTTGGTCTCTCATTTCCTCCATTCATCCCTACATCCTCTCACACGAAGTCACCAACTATCACTTGATATTAAAGGGCTTTAGAACATTATAAATAGAGGTAGAACATCAATTTTCAAGTCATCCAAGCTTAACACAATCTTAAGCACTATAGTTATCGATTAAAGCTATAACTCGTCACATCTGGGGGTTATAGCACCGTTGAGCATTGAGTTTATATTAAATTTGGAGCATTTATTTTTTTGAAGTTTAACCTTGCCTTCATTTATATTTCCTTTCAAGTTTTCCAACAATTTACTTTGTATCAGATTCAAGTCTCCATTGGAGTAGGTTTTTATTAATCATATTGCTTTTATTATATCGTCTCTTTACATTTATGCATGTTCTTGTTTTATTTTAATTTTAGATATATCAATTTCATGTTTCAAGCTTTATTTGATATGCCTTTTATGCTTAGTTCCATTTTTAAATCAATTATTTTATCATTTGTTATAATTATGTTCGGCTAAATCTATAGTGTTGGAATGCGAGGATCGTCGATTCGATGGTACTCTACTTGTTGTTCTTTTAGAAATATTTATGGGGTTGTTTTGATTTTATTACAATTTTTCCAAACTTAATTTGATTGGTTACTACGAGAGTATAACTATGAATATGTCGGGTAAGATCGAAAGTCGTCTGGTACAAAAGACTAAAGTTGTTTAGTTTTTGATTAATAAACACCACGAAAGCACTTTATTAATTAATTAGGAATGTTTGATACTTTCAGAAAGTGATTTTAAAACTATTTTCGAACGCGTTTATAAGTTTAAGATCTGGTTGTTCGTGCGAAAGCTGATAACCCTTTAAAGTCTAATTTTCCAATCCAAACTAATTTTCGTCTGAGCAAAAGAAACTAATTTCTAAAAAAGGTCTTTACTTCTTTAAAGAAAAGTGTGTCAGACATGCGAGAGTGGACAATATAAATTAGAGAGTAAAATCCAGTTTTGATTACGCGACAACAACAATTCCTTTTTAATGAAGTTATTTTTCAAAGAAGGAAACATTGTCCCATAGGTAGTTAAATTTAGGTACAATAAGAGCATCAACGAATTGATGAGATCCGCGGTCTAGCATTGCATTTCTGAATTACTTTAAGTTTATTATTTCATTTTATTTTTCACTCCACTCCTAAATTCTGATCTCCTTAGATAAACACTATAACAATAGAAAACGATAGATTGAACATCTGGTCTATGTGGATTTGAAACTCTTTATATTACTCTGATAGACTCCGTATACTTGCGGAAATACCCTAATCGTTTGATATTGATTCAACCTCTTCTCTTCTTTTGATCTTCAACAAGACCAAGACAAAATAGCTATTAATTAATTTATCAAATTTTGCTACTTTTGGGTACCAAACTCCAAAGCTCTTTCGTGTACGATCAATTGTAACTATTGCGCACAAGACACTTCAATTTGATTCTTCGTTCTCGCGCTACTTCCTTAGGTACCAAACTCCGAAGGCTTTTCACTAGGCTACAATCCTCTCTTGAATGTCTTGCACGGAAACCCTCAAATCTACCAAAAATCTTGGAGGACAAACCCACGGTTTTTCGGATGAAACCCCCTACAAATCTCAACCCAATATTCTCGACTACACAAGAACCTAATTGGACATTATCAAACCTCGCCTAGATGGTACCCCAACAAAAGATGATTATGTGTGCTCTATCAGTGTGTAATGCATAAATTGGAGGTTGAAGGTGAAAAACAAATGTAATATGTGTTTATAGTTTCATCGAGTTGGAATGAAGCATGTACGATGTATTTATAGTTGGAGAACTTTGGTGGCAAAGAGGGAAACTTCAAAATTGAAAAAATATGAAAATTTTGATACATAATAGTATGTGTCAACTTGAAAGATTCTATGTGCTAGCACATAGCAGAGAGAAGCTATAGTCTTTAAAAATTTAGTATATGTACCGGCTTGAAAATCGTATGTGTCGGCCTGAAAGATTTATCTGACATCATGAAGGTTTATGTGTCAGCACATAAAGCTTATGTCTCGGCCTAAAAAGCGGACGTGCCGACACATACAAGTGTATTTTGTGCAAAAAATGTTTTTTCATGATTTAGATCAATTTTAAACTTATTTTGAATGCTTCTTAAGACCTCTAATGAAAGGATGCACAAAACTACACAGAGATAGCGTCCAATATACATAAATACTAAAATTTCCTAGTTTTGACATAATGCAAAACATCTAATGGTAAAGTTGCACTCATCCATCCAAATTTAATAGTTGGCCATATAGAAGAGAAAACATAGTACTTGATTGTACCATAATTTTTTAAAACTCTAACTCTTAGAATTTTGCCCAAGACTCAACACTAGTCATGAGATCTCAAGCCAACTTCAAATTTGCTGCATTATTAAGCCTTATTAGAAATCTGAGACCTAATCCACCATGCGATTTGGGTATGCACATTTTATGTTAAGCTACCGTACAAAGCTTCTTCTCCATTTAAAAATTATGAAATATATAATAAACAGTAAAATCTAAAATTATTTTTGGGTCAAATTTGTACTACTAGTAAAAATAAAAATAAAAGGTAAAAATAAAAGTATGGAAAAAGTAGACTCACTTTCCCTTAGATTTGTTAAAAAGACGTCGACACTCCCTCTAATTTTAAATCATAGTAAGTAAATATTATCTATACAAATCATTTTTTATTATGGAAACGTGTCATTTTAATAGATATCAAAGAAGATCAATATACATTTAAAAATTAAATGAGTGTTAATGTGATTTTAACATATCACGTGTATTTTTTAGGTAAAATAAAATTGAAGTTATATGTAGTTTTCAAGACCCAAATTAGATAATAAGTCTAAGTTATTATAACACGCGCAAAAACTCATCCAGAAGAAAGTAAAGAAAAAACTGAATCACTTCAAAAAAAGAAATTGCTTGGAAAACTAAAACTCAAACAGACAAGCACTACACAACACTAGAGTGGTTGAAGGAAAAAAAAAAAGGTATAGAAACTATGAAAAATCTCAAAACAACAATGAGATTCTGAATCACTGGACCAAACCAAAAAAAAAATGGAGTCAAGCGTTTTGGAAGGCATCGGCGTCGAAATAATCGGCGTAATGTCACCGGTATCAATCTGCATGTTCCTCGTCGTCCTCCTCGTTTACTCCCTTTCCACCTCCTCCTCCCCCGACCTCACCATCCGCACCGCCGCCAATCTGGTCTACGCCGAGAATCCCTCCGACTCCACCGCGCAAAAACTCGAAGGCGCTCTCCTAAACGCCGTCGTTTTCGTCATCCTGATCGCCATCGTCACTTTCCTCCTCGTTCTCCTCTACTACTACAACTGCACATCCTTCCTCCGTCACTACGTCCGCTTCTCCGCTTTCTTCGTCCTCGCTTCCATGGGCGGGTCGATTCTCCTGTCGCTGCTTCAGCGGTTCTCTATTCCCTTAGATTCCATTACTTGTTTCATTTTTCTCTTCAATTTTACTATTGTTGGTGTTCTATCGGTTTTCGCTTCCGCGATTCCGATTATTCTCCGGCAGTGTTATATGGTTTGTCTTGGGATTATCGTTGCCGCGTGGTTTACAAAGCTTCCTGAATGGACGACTTGGAGTTTGCTTGTGGCTCTTGCCGTTTACGATCTTGTAGCTGTTTTGGCTCCCGGTGGTCCGTTGAAGCTTCTCGTTGATTTGGCTTCCAGCCGGAACGAGGAGCTTCCTGCTTTAATCTATGAAGCTCGCCCTACTGTTGCCCCAACCGGTAGGGCTGCTGCATTAGGGTTTTTGGTTGCCGGTGTTACCGAATCCGGATCAGGATCGGGATCGTCGTCGATTGAGCTTCAGGTAGTCCCTACTGAGAATGAGAGTAATAGGAACACTCATGGTGTTGATGATTCTGTTGGTGTTGTTAGGGTTGAGGATCTAATTAACGATGAAGGGGAAAGATCTCCGTTGGTTGGTAATGCGAATCGTGAGGAGGAAAGGTCTCCACTAGTTGAGGTGAATAGGACTGAGAGAAATATGGCGACAAGGAGAGAAGAGGAAGAACTTTCGGAGAGAGGTATTAAGCTTGGACTTGGTGATTTTGTTTTCTACAGTGTTCTTGTGGGTAGAGCTGCAATGTATGATCTCATGACTGTCTATGCTTGTTATCTTGCGATTATATCTGGACTTGGCTGCACTCTTATTTTGTTATCTGTGTGTCGTCATGCTCTGCCTGCGCTCCCGATTTCGATTGCGTTGGGTGTGCTTTTCTATTTCTTGACTAGATTGCTAATGGAACCGTTTATTGTTGGGACTGCCACAAATTTGATGATGTTTTGAGTCTTATGAACTGGCGGCATTGACAGGGAATTTTATGATATGAGGTTAGGCTTTAGATATGTATGTGTCCTAGTGCTTTTGTTGATAAGGAAAATTGTGCATGGAGTTGAGAGATAGTGTTCCATGAGTCTTATCTCTTTTGTAGTAACAATACTTGTTCATGTCATCTTATTATTCTGAGCTGATAGTGTAGTAACTAATGGTCACTTGTGCCTAATGCTGCAGATCCTGTAAATTTAAAAGCTAAATTGAATATTACTAGTATTATATTGACAAGCATGAGTTGTGTGGAGAAATTAGCGGTGGCTAAGCATTTGTTGAGTATATTTTCAGGTTTCCCATGTAAATTTTAATATTAAACCTGTATCTCTTTCTTGTTTTACAAATATTGGATTATGCACTGTTTTGAAGCACATAATATGGACATTATCCAATTTTGAGATTCACACATCTTCCACAAACCAGAAAACAATTTACTAGACTGCTGCATGTATTTTCTGTATCGTTGATTTGAACTCTGCATCATCAGAGTATCTGCATATTAATGCTTATACTTTCGTTTCTGCTTAGAACAACACATCATATGATATGATTGGTATAACTCCATTTGTTCGTTTGTTTTGCCAATTTTATAGTACAGAATGGTTTTCTTTGTTAAGAATAATTTTTAATTCCACTTCCCTCCTTTTCAATTTTCTTTTAGTTGAATTCCAAGTGCTATTTATGGTTTACTATGCTATTTGGATCTGTTCCTCCTAAGGATTGAACCAGAATGAATGGCAGTATAGAAATATAAACTTAATCATCTTTATAGGTCCTAAAGTTATATGTATTGCTTTGTTTTTCCTTCCTTTAGGCTTTGCAATCCATGATATTTCCTTTTGAATCCTGTTTGCAGAACTGAGATGGTTGGGTTTGTAAGTATCTATCTATTTAAGGCTTAGATTAAGTTTCTTGGGATGCGATTTAAGTTGAGATTTGTTGGGAAATTGTTTATGGAATTCTCTGGGATTTTTAGTAAGTAGTAACATCTAGAAGTAGGTAATGGGACAGTCTCCTGTTGTTTGTAACTCCGAAGTATAACTTTTAGAAAATGTAGCTTAATATTCAGGGTCAGAAGTTTTCATTGTTGTTGGTGCTTGGTGAGGTGAAGAAATGTCTAAAATTGACATACGTATCACTTTACATTTTGTTGATTGAGCAAATCTTTGTCCAGTTCAGTAGAACCAGAACAATTTTTCTGTTTTCAATTTCCTTTGATAAAATATGAACTTCACGTATGATTATCAATCAAGGGGTGGATCAAATATGATAAAGGTTTAGGATTTGAGACATTTGGGTCTGATATGATATTCTGGCACTGTCATTTGCCTATCAGTTCACAAATCACAAATTATACTCTTGTTCCCTTTATTTTCTGTTTCATACAAGTACTTGATTTACGTGTCTATAACTCTATATATGTACTATAACTCAGAACCCCAAAGGAAAAAAGTTTCCTGCGTACATCCCAAAGGCATGTTTTGTTGCTGTTGTTTGTTTGATTTATACTTGTATTTCTGTTGGATGATTCAAGTAGTGAATGACAATGTTTATATTAGTCTGATTTTGATTTATTTGCTTCTAAGTGTATAAATTCTGTGATACACATGAATAAGTAAATATATGTATTTACATGTTTATGCACCTGGGAAAATATAACAGTATAAGGTTTTTCTCTGTAAATTAAACTTCTCTTTTACTCTAAGCTATGCTTCGATGTCTGAAAAAAATTATAAAATGGTGAATTTAAAGACCCTGCAACCAGTACACTGCTCTTTTAGATGTATTTAATCAAGGATTACAAGCTCATAATCTTCCATATGCTGATGATCAATTTTTAGATATTAGAGCTTCTGGGGTACCAGTGTATATAGCATGTTACCATTACGACTCTTATTTCCCCAAATTCATTACCAGAAATTTATTGTCCAGAGCTTCTTATCACTTTTGTCCGTGGCTAAATGGTTTGTGATTTCAGGTTGCCTGATATTTCTACTATTTCATTTGATGTTCCTATTTTAGTTTTGCTGCTAGCTTGTTTGTATTTTGTAGCTATTTTCTTTTTTCTTTTAAGGAGAGGTTCCAAAAAGAAATATACCGCAAATAAGCCGGGCCATGTGATTATCCCTATCTTCTGAGCATTTAACTTGTCATCTCCAAGTAGAATGTGACACCTCTTATATCTGACACCTCAAAAGTGTCTCTGATAAAAAATAGAACAAAATGTTCGAACGAAATTTCTGATAGACACTTAAATTTTCGGTGAGCACTAAATTTCTGGTAGTTCATTTGAAATTTCCGATGAGTGACAATTTATTCTGGATTTTTTAACATTTACCATTTCATATCAAGAATTTAGGGAAATGTGAAATTTCTGGTATATCAATAATTCAAAATTTTCAATGATCGGGATTTTGTCGACAGTTATGTGCGACTGTCATTACACGAACAATTTTCTGTGGTCCATAATGAATTCAAGTTGTATAAATAAGAGTCATCTGTTGTTGAGAAAAACATTTCAAAATGCCTGGTTGCCTGATACCAATAATAGAAAGATCAAGTTTTTTGAAGATTGGATTGACATTGATGGAAGGGTGAAATACAACCTTATTAAGTTGAAGACCGATGAAGATTTGACGGTCATGTGGAAATCATTTCGCTGTAGGCTAACTATGGGGTTGATCGAGTTTGATGTGAAGATTTCAAGATATGTCGACAACATAATTAAGATGTTGAAATGTCCAGAATCATCTGGTAGTGTCTAGGTTTTTCATCTTTCGTTATTTTTAATTTATGTTTGTTGTAATATTTTAAGTTATGTTCATCTTTAAACCATGTAATCGATAAAATATTATGTAATAAAATATACAATGCTAAATAGTCAGAGTCATAAAATATACAAATAATACAATTGTAAAATCAAATAACTAAATAGGCTCCCATGGGCTACGTGTGTTACCCGAGATAATCCAGTAAATACTTCACCATTTGAGTTTACCAAACCCATGATATCATCTATAATAACAACGATCATCTGCAGGTGCTCCTGATCATTTGTGACTGGTGGAGGTGGCGGCACGTCGTCAGTCTGTACCTCAACCTCAGAAACCCCATCATCAGACGACATCCCAACATTTGAAGGCACCCCAACATCAGAAGCCTCGACAACAAGTGGGATGATGCAAGGGTGTGATATAGTGAGGTACCATTCTATGTAACCATCCTCACACTGCGAGTCGTGTTGAACTCTCAATGCTCTATTTCTAATTACACAGGCAAAGCTGGTATGTTACTCTGAAACCACCCGTCAATGCCCCTAGCTGAAACATTTGGAACTAGTCGTGGGATATCATTGACATACCCATATTGTCGCAAAATCCTCACAGGCAAGTGTATAGCCACTAAGGTCTCCCACCTGATATAACCTGAAAATAAAGAAGTCAAACTCACGGTGGACCTTGTGACCTATGTATGGTGTCCAGATGACATCCTTTGCTCTCAAATCATCAAGTCTCCTCATGTACTTTGCAACACCACCAGGATGAGATAGCCTGCCATAATATGTATGCAACATCGTCAGCATACTCCATGAGCACTGATCGGTCACTAGGTCCTCCCGGGAATGCTCCACTAGTGTGAACAAATACGTTATAGAAGCACAGGTCGCAACGCCTGTATCATCACCAGTGTGAGTATCATCATCAGCAATATGATTTGTGGGAGCCACCATCTCATCAGTAACCTCTGCATCTGTAATCAGTACCTCCTCAACAACAGGTACCTTCTCAATAATAGGTACCTCCTCAACAACAGGTACCGCATCAGCAACAAGTACCTCATCAACAATAATACCTGATCATCAACATGTACCTCATCAACTCTAACTTCTCGATGTTGGGGTGCACGAAATTGGGTTTGGGACTGCTCAACCAACAATTTTCTATGAGAATCGGTTGAAGCTACTCATCCAATCCGTAGCTGGGAAGCCTTTGTCGCATCAGATATATCCTGAGTTGTCGCTCTATCAGTGATCCTTTCTGCAATGGTCTTGTTTAGTCCTCCTAGAAATCAGGAGTAGTCTATTCCCTTGTACTTCTAAGAGATTTCACTTTAATCACAACTAATTATAATTTGCTCAAGCACATAAGCAAGAGACTTCTAATGCTTAGACACACAAGTAAGAGATGTCTAATGCTCAAACATACAAGCAAAAGGCTTCAGATGCTCAAGCACACAAGAAAGAGACTTAAAATACTCAATAACACAAGTAAGAGGCTTTTATAATATAACTTAGAGAGAGATAGGGAGAGAGATTGTTTGAGTATTACATTTAATATACAATCAGATGTGTAAACAGAATACAACATAAAAGACTCTTAAGACTTAAGAATTTCTAGAATATACAAGGGTTGAGAAATTTTGTTAAACTTGTGTTGTTTGATTTGACAGAGTAAATGCTCTTTATTTGTCAACAGTTCATTATATTTTCTTCAAGACTTCAACTCCTTATATAGAGAACCGTAAAAGAGTCACTGAAGGTCTTTCACTAGAGTGTCTTAGAGAAGCTTGATCAGAGACGTTGGAATGTCTATTCAAATGGTTAATCCTTTGAAAAAGTCATTTGAAATTCCTTTGTTCAAAAAGGAATTGTCCATTCCATCTCTAGTGTCTTTGAACTTGAATAGTCACGTGATTAGAAGAGGATAAATTGTTCTTTGAGTCAGATAGTGACCTATCAGGGATTCTTTATCTGAGCGCTTGACTGGCATCAAAGTCTGAATCTTCAGAGTTTGAATCTATAGAGGTTGGCTTTCTTCAAAGATTGGTCTTCAGAAGTTAACCTCTTCAGAGTCTTCTTGATCTTTGTGTTAGCCAATTTCAGAGTCTGATTTTCAAGTTCTGATCCTTAAGATTCTGGTTCTTACAGCTTCTCTTTAATGTTCAATTTTCAGGGCTAG